GGCTCGATCCATAAGATAGAGAAACTCCCCGAACTACAGGTTAGACAATTACAACACATGATGGATACATAAAGAAAGCATTTTTTTTACCAACAATCAAGTATCCCGCAAAAAACACAAGGTAATGAAGCTTGTCATAAATTTAAGTAATTAAACTAACAAGTCGAGTTCCACTAATATAAATATTGCATGGCAAAGTCCTAAGTTTACCCGAATCACATTACCTCGTGCATAAAACAACACAAATTTATTTCTCACTAGTCAAAGATAGTATAATTAAATTATCGTCTCCATAGGAATTGAACTTAAATAGTGTTCGAATAATCTTTAGTTAATTACTATCCAGGAAAATTAACACTTGATTTAATTATTGTCAACTACAATTAACTACTGATCACGGAAGACAACAGCAGTTGAGCAACAAAGAGATATCAGTGAGAGAAATAAGGGTAACTGACAAGACAGGTGAAAGATAATTGACTCGGTGTCCAATTCTTGAATTAGTTCACTCTCTAATATTGTTGATTCTCACGAATTCAACAGATAATTAGATTACTTGAAGTTAATGTTCCTCTTTTGATTAAACGTTAATTTCAAGAATTAATCCAATTGAAGCACGGTGAACAATTGCAATGAATAAAATGATGGTTTTACTCTAAAGGGTAACTTCTCACGAATATTTTTCTGTTTTCTAGTTCGATTAATAATTCAAGAAGCTCTTTTTATTACCAAGTTAAATCAAGAATATAAACAAGAGCATAAGATGTAAAAAAAAAATCAATATCAAGCTCCTCTTTCGATTAAGCAAAACAATAAATAACTTCACAATATGATTTAAAGCTCCATCAATTAATTAAAACAATTGTCGAGAATCGAATCCCAAATCAAGTTATCAATACACCATGTCTATCAATATCCTAAGGGAAATTACTCCATAGTAATGGAAAAAGTCATCTCAATAAGGTTTTAAAACATAGAAATATCAATGCCAATGATTCGATACAAGCTCCCATATTGCACCGATTGTTGGTCAAAATCTTGGTGAATTCTTGTGTCTTCTTGCCTTAGTTGCTTCTCAAATCTTTCGTAGGTTAAAGTCCTCTAAAAATCGTGTTGATGAGGTATTTATAGCATGTAGGAACGGGCCGGATGAAACTACCCTTTCAGATCTGAAACTGGAAAATATTTTTGGAAAATTGCACTGTGCGCCCCGCCATGCGCCGCACCATGCGAAGCGCTTGTAAGGATTTACAAAGGCCTTGCAAATTGTCTGTCAGGCAGATTTTACACTACACGCCGTGCTGCTCCTCGCAGTGCCCCATGCAGAGTTATAGTGTAGTTTTCTCAAAGTAACTTGTTTCATTCACTTTTTGTTATCCGGACTTGGTTCTTGACCCTCGAACGCGATCCCAGTTTAATTCCTTGGGATTTTACTCAGACTTCAAAGCTCCAAACTATTCGATTTAACTCAAATTTATCTTTTTAACTTGAAATCACTTCCTGCAAGGCATAAAATACGTAATAAGTACAATTCACTATCATCTAAGCTCAAACATACGTAAAATGCAGTAATTAGAGTGCAAACTACGGCTAAAATATGAGTTTCTAGTCTACCATCACGTACGTGCACCCACAACAAGTAGCAAATAACAATTAAAGCACCTACATAGATAATTCTCTCTTACAAGATTAGGCAAGATACTTATCTTGCTTCCAAGAGCTCTACTCGGCCCTCAAACCACACTAGTTGCCTCAAAATAATGCCAAACAACCCGAAACTAATCAAATGATGCATAAATTAATTAATATACGTTCAAAAATTTATAATTTAACTATTAGAGAGATTTTCCAATCTCGCTCAGAAAGTTCCTAAAAGTGACTGCTCGGCCCACGTGTTCGATTCCAAAAATTCGGTAGATAAATGTTACCCATGACCTTACGAACTCAAATATATAATCCCATTTTTACTAAACATTAAATTCTTTCAACATAATCCTATAATTCTACTAATTTTTATGTTAAATCCACCCATAATCTATGTATTTAAATCACATTAGGTAAAAAGCACTCACCTTAAAACGTTCGATTAAAATCCCTTTCCAAGAAGCTCCAAAATCGGCCAAACAAGGTGAGAAATGGGAAAAATGAGCCTAAATCTCAATTTTAAAAAGTGTTCTGCCCAAGCATTCCTTCTTCGCGTTCGCGGAAACACCTTTGCGATCGTGAAAGCAAAGCTGCCTCTTGCCCCAAATGTCTTTTATTGCGAATGCGACAGGGCCCTCGCGATCACGATGCCTAAACTGGCTAACCCTTCGTGAACGCGAGCTACCCTTCTCGAACGCGAAGGCTAAGGCCTGCCATCACCCCACCCCACCCCCACCCCCACCACAATATGCACCGAAACGCTCCCAGATTATCCAAAATCCANCCCACACCCCCAGTCGGCCGTCCTCTATACGAACGCGACCCAATAATTGCAAACGTGTAGGCCACTAGACCAACGTTCCGCAATCGCGAAGCATAAAAATTCCCCAGTCCAAAATCTCTCATAGCGAACGCGAGACTCCCTTCGCGTTCGCGAAGAAGGAAACCAACACCAGAAATCTGCCAATTTAAACTTTGCTCTGGGTGGTCCGAAACACACCCGAGCGATCCGGGACCCCGTCCAGATGCACCAACAAGTCTGTAAACATGCTATGGACCTACTCAAAGTCTCGGAACACATAAAACAACATCAAAACCAATAATTGCACCTCAAAACCAAATAAATCACCTTTCAACTTCTTTCAACTAGCTCTGAACGCGCGAATCATACTTAGACAACTCGAAATGACGCCAAACTTTACGCACAAGTCACAACTCACAATATCAACCTATTTCAAGGCTCGAAATCCCAAACGGATATCGATAGCACCAAAGTTCGCTTCAAATCAAATTTAGAAAACTCTAAAACTTTCAAGACGCCAATTTTCAACAATAAGCATTGTAACGCTCCTAGTCTCCCAAAACTCAATCCGAACATATGCCTAAATCCAAAATCACCATACGAACCTATTGGAACCTTCAAATCCTTGTTCCGAGGTCGTTTTCTCAAAGTGTTGACTCAAGTAATACTTGGCCACATTAGGCCACTAATATGGAACTAAGTGTTCCGAATTCAACTTGAACCATTCCAAAACCAAACCAACCATCCCCGCAAATCATAAAATAGCAATAGTACATACTAAAAGTCTTAAATAGGGGAAGGGAGATCTAGAAAGCAAAATGATCAATCGTATCGTTACACATTGCTTGCTTCAATTTGAATATTCTCATACGATTAGGCTTAGAAACTTTACTTACAATTTTCGTATTCATTGCTTGCCTCAATTTTGTCATGTGATGCAAAATTAAAGAAAAATATAAAACAAAGTATAAAGAATAAGATGAATTCTATTTGAAATCTAATTTTTTTTATGTGGATTCAAATATTAGAAAATGGATTAATTCCATAAATTTGATGCAATTTTTTATGACCGTGCGAAGCATGGATAAGTTGACTAGTTCAAGAATAAATAGGCCATTGAAAACCTTAATTAAAATATGAGGAAGACATTAACTATAGCTTAAATATGAACGTGAAGTTTGATTTTTCGCACAAATTAAGTTGAGGGAAAAAATAATTTTCGCGTTTAATAAGTACATGGTAAAGGTATAAATATTCCCGAACTAAAACGGAAATGCTAGTTATACACTTGTATTTTGCGGAGTCTGATTACCTATGTACTTAAAAGTGAAATTACTGTTGAAAAGATTTATATTATGTGGTATAATAAGAGTTTGACACGTGTTTTTTAACCATTTTATCTTTTATTTTACATTTTTCTTCAATTTCTTTTTCTATTACAAGTGTATGTGTATAATAGCACTCGCAAAACACAAGTGTATAATTGACATTTAGAGACAAGTTTGAGGGATACTTATGCCTCTTCCATGAATAATCACAACGTAAGTTCGTTATCTTTGAACTTAACTAGAAGAAATTGAGAACTTTTGCGTTGTGGACTGTCAAGTTATTTAACTCAAAACTTGTTGGCCAAGCAGCTTTCTCCATGTTGTTGGTTAATAACAAATTGATTATCTCGCCAAAACCGAATTTTGTAACGTATAATTGTACTTTTTTCTTATTAAATTTGTGAGAAACTCTTTTATCCAATAATTTCATATTCGAACGGGTTTGACTATCGATTGTATTATTCTAAAGGATGATCAAATGCTAAGCACCACAAATTAAACACAGTTATTCTTGTCTGAAAGGCAACAATTTTGATATTCTTGTATAACTCAAAACTCAATAATTTCTTGATAAGGTGTTCTATCATCCTTAATCTCAAATTACACAATACAGAAAAGGGAAAAAAGAATACATAACCTGTACCAACAATCATAATTTCTTCATTATTATTCAGAAAAAGATGTTTATGGTTAAACTATTTTTTTTTAGTTTTCCGTCTGGTGTCCGGTACCTGCATTGGAGCCCAACTATAGCAGTTCCATCTAGTGCACCATATCCTTTGGTGGTATGGTTACAAAGTCTTATATCTCTATAATAAGTAAAACCTGGACAAAATCCAAGTCTAAAGTTGACATTATACATTAGATGTAGAGTTTAGAGAAATTTCCATTTATATTTTATTTAGTTCAAAAGGATAATATATTATAGTACAAAGTAGGGGTGGCATATATATATAGTACTCCACTAGTTTAAGAGGAGCAGGGTACCGGAGTTCCACACAAGTTCTACGTACCCTTTTGTGTTATACGAAAAATCTCATATTTGTTGTCTTCTTCTTCATTATAAAGATCTAATCAAATTACCCTCTTAAGCATTGTGATCCATTCTCTCCATTTTGGCTATCACTGTCAGCTTTTCAGCTGTAAATAAGTCTCTGGTCTTGTCAAAAACTCATTTCTCAGACCATATTTCGCCAGAAAAACAAAAAAGGTCCTCAACAAGCTTTTCCTTTTTATCCCGTTTTGATTATGTATGGGTGTAATCTAGTTAGTGGAACAGTTTACATTTCCACTGGACTTTGCCTCTTTTTGGTTTCCAAGAAAGTGGATAACAGAAAAAAAAAATTGGATTTTTTTAAAGCAATTCGGGTTTTCTTGTTTTGTTGAATGAGATTGTTCCATTCTGTGTTAATATGCTCAATTTGATTCAGTAGAAGGTGGAAGGAAGCTTGTTAAAGTTTTAAGCAGTTGTCTTTGTCTAATCATACAGTATTTGACTGGGAGGGAATTCTATGGGGAAATTCAACTTGGGGTATCTGTTTATTCTCTAATATTTTCTGTTGTTGAAAATTCCATCTAAGAGTTTGAATAATTTTCCGCTTTTGTTGCTCTGCGAAAAGGACCAAAGGTTGTTCAAATGTTTTATCCCTTACGGATTCATCATTTTTGGATTGTTCTATATTTTAAAACATGAGTTGGATTCTAATATTTCTGAGTCAGATTACACCCCTTCTTTATCTCAGCTGAAATCAATATTTGTGATTTGAGGATTGCGAATTTTTACCTTTCACTGCAGGGTAAAATGGGGCATTTTTCATCCATGTTTAATGGATTGGCAAGATCTCTGTCACTGAAAAAAGGAAGGGAAAACTCTAGGAACGGGAATTACAATGGAACAGAGGCTGCAGAATCTATGGATAAAGGAGCCAAGAAAAATGATTTTATATTAAGGTCTTCAGGGACTGTAAATGTTGATGGTTCTAAGAATTTTGCTTCTGCCTTCTCTAAGAGAGGAGAAAAAGGAGTGAATCAAGATTGTGTCATTGTTTGGGAGGTATTCTTCCCCAATTTATGGTTTTTCTCTCACAAGTCTTCCTTCCTCTTTGTTCAATATTAGTCTCACTTGTGGTACTTTTACTACTATGTCTATGTATGGAATTATGGAAATGCCTTTTGATTCTTGCTCATGGCAGGAATTTGGATGCCAAAAAGACATGATATTCTGCGGAGTATTTGATGGGCATGGTCCGTGGGGCCATTTCGTGGCGAAATGTGTACGAGAATCATTGCCATCATCTCTGCTTTCCAATCTATTTGAGGCTTCAACTGATTCAGATTTCGATTTGGATTCTGATAAATTGCTTCATGAATTCGATATTTGGAAGCATTCCTACACCAAGGCATGTGCTGCTGTAGATCACGAGCTGGAACAACATCCTAAGATTGATTCATTCTACAGTGGTACCACTTCTTTGACAATAGTCAGACAGGTAATACCAGTAGTTCTTTTGATGATATTAGTTAATTAGCCAGTCAACAAAAGTTGCTCAATCATCCAAGTTTTTGTTCTGCAGGGTGAGGCTCTTTTTACCGCGAATGTTGGCGACTCGCGCGCTGTATTGGCCACCACTTCTGAAGATGGCAACTTGGTGCCAGTTCAGCTCACTATTGATTTCAAGCCTAATCTACCTCGTAAGTCCTCCTTTATATTTGAAATTTACTGGCCCTACTAATCCAGATCCGTATTAGATAGGCTTTAAAACACTCTTTTTCTCTATATTGCTCTCTCTTCTTGTATTAAATACCAGATGATTCACTATGGCCTGTATGTTGATTCCAGAGGAAGCTGAACGGATAAAGCAGTGCAATGGCCGAGTATTTTGCGTGGACGATGAACCTGGGGTGCACCGGTTATGGCTGCCTGAAAACCAATCCCCCGGATTGGCTATGTCTAGAGCTTTTGGAGACTACTGTGTGAAGGATTTCGGACTAACTTCTGTTCCTGACGTGATTGAAAGATCTATCACAAGCAAAGATCAATTTGTTGTGCTGGCAACAGATGGGGTATGTCTGGCCTTAATCTTATACTATGACAACCATGTCTTCATCACAGATAGTAGCATATTCCTTAATTAGGGCCAAACAGAAAGTAGGTAGGATAAAAATTCTAAGCGTAAATAGGCTGGCACTGATCATCCATGATGGCCACTTAATGCTCACTGGTGAAATGTTAACTGCATTAAAAAGGTTAGATTAGTTGGATAAAAGTTATTGTACTGAATAAATTGTCTCTTGTACATGCTTGAGTCTAAGGGTTTCAAGCTGAGCAGGATGAAGACGGAATATCTGGAGTGTAAGTTCAGCGCTGAGCCGGAGGAAGTGGGCGTGGATGTGAGGCTTGAATCACATGCCATCCCAAGTAGAGGCAACTTCAAGTACCTTGGGTCGGTTATCCAAGGGGAAGGGGGAATTGACGAGGATGTCACACGCCGTATTGGAGTAGGATGGATGAAGTGGAGATTAACATCTGGAGTCCTATGTGACAAGAGAGTGCCACCGATACTCAAAGGTAAGTTCTATAAAGCGGTGATTAGACCGGCCATGATGTATGGGGCTGAGTGTTGGCCTGTTAAGAACTCACATTCCAGAAGATGAAAGTAGCAGAAATGAAGATATTGAGGTGGATGTGCGGGCACATTAGGATGAATAAAATTAGGAATGATGATATTCGGGAGAAGGTGTACGTGGCTCCCATTGATGACAAGATGCGGGAAGCGAGACTCAGATGGTTCGGGCATATTCAGAGAAGAAGCCTAGATACCCCGGTAAGGAGGTGTGAGCGGCTGGTTGTGGAGGGCATGAGAAGAGGTAGAGGGCGGCCTAAGAAGTATTGGGGAGAGGTGATCAGGCAGGATATGACGAGGCTTCAGATTTCCGAGGACATGACACGTGATAGGAAAATGTGGAGGTCGAGTATTAAGGTTGTAGGTTAGGAGGTAGTTGAATCTTGCCTTATTTCGCACCTCTATGAGACTAGTCTGGTAGAATTTTTGGCTAAGATAGTTATTGGCAATATTGTGTCTTACTATTACGCTTTTCAATGCATGACATATTTACTACCTTTCGCTTTTGCTTTGTATCTTTATTCTGAATTTAATGTTGTTCCTCTTTTTCCTATGATTTATGTGGTGATACTAATATTGTCTCCCTTTTGTCTTTCTGTTTTCTTGAGCCGAAGGTCTTTAGAAACAACCTCTCTATTCCTTTGGGGTAGGGGTAAGGTTTGCGTACATACTACCCTCCCCAGATCCCACTAGTGAGATTTTACTGGGTTGTTGTTGTTGTTGTATATGCTTCAAATTGTGTAAATGCATAAAATATTTCCTTTGTGCAGGTTTGGGATGTTATTTCCAACGAAGAGGCAGTACAAATTGTGTCATCGACCCCAGAGAGGGCAAAAGCCGCAAAGCGTTTGGTGCAATCTGCTGGCTGTGCCTGGAGACGTAAGAGGAGAGGAATAGCTATGGATGATATTTCAGCTATTGTACTTTTTTTTCATTCTTCTCCCTTGTGACAACAAATTCACCCTGTATAGATACACCAGAACAGAACTTAGTGAAAAAGCAAGTTTGCTTCTCCCGCTCTCTACAACAGAATAAAACTTAGTGAATTTGCTTCTCCCGCTCTCACCCTCATCATCACCACAATTAGAGCTGAAAGGAACTAAAAATGCAACTGTTAGTGGACTAAAATGATAATGAAGCAATTTTGGAGCTAAATAGAAGATCCTCAACGCTTTTGAATTGAGAACCTGGACACCTTCTTATGGAGGTAACCATAACAACATCAACAACATACCCAATATAATCCTATGGGTGGAGTCTAGGGAGGGTAGTGTGTACGCAGACCTTACCCCTACCCGGAGAGGTAGAGAGGCTATTTCCGATAGACCTTCGGCTCAAGAAAAGGTGGTATGGAGGTAACAAACCATACACATTTATAAATGTCTGGATTGTTCTAAGAACATAGACACAAAACAATAAGTTCATATCAAGTGTATTCTGTTTTTTGCAATATCAAAAGGGTTTTTTTAAAACTTGTGGTCTAAGACAATTCATAAATATTTGTGTGCCTATAATTAAGAATAAAAAGAGAATTTTAAAATTAAATTGTTTTCAAATTTAGAAAGAGTTCATTCTTCTATAAACTGACTAAAAAGAAAATAAATTAATTCTTTTTTAAACCGAGGGAGTAGTAAATTCCATTTACCTAAACATACTATATTTCCAGTACATTAGTTATTTGCTATGCAACATCGACGATACGACAATTCAAATCAAATAAACTCAACATAGCCTAATATGAGTGTGTCGACAGCTTACTAAACTAAGTTGGATATAAAGCTTTAGCATTTTATTTCTCTTGCATTGGAAATATTAGGGTGTTTATCATGCGGATTGGGCAGATATTTACGCTAATGGTTTGGCTTATCAGTTTATAAATGTAATAATCATCTAGCTAACCAATACGACATCGGGCGAATGGACATCAGATTAGCGATTATCGGGCAGTTCATCAAATTATCGATTAAGGAAAAATTTGGAGTAAAGTATCACATCTGCTTTGTCTTTGCAATGATTTTGGATGAAGTAAATGAAGCCCTTTGTATTGAAAACTGAACTAACCGAATAAGATTAGAAAATAGAAATTGAACCCAATAAAGGCGCTCTTCAAAGATGAACTAACTGAGTAAGGCAAAAATTTCTTGATTTTGCTTTGTCTTTGCAAATCAAATACATTCAAGTTGGAGTGGGTGTAGTATTTGGGCAACGACATTATCAACCACCTTTAGCTTGAATAGTATACTTGTATATATGGAAGTAGCAGACTAGCAGTACTACTCTGCCCCAACTAATTAAATCTAACCCTACATCAAGGTCTACATCTTAAGGATCATGACGGGTTCCATATACCTTGGATCGACCAATAAATATTACTTTATTTACATAAAGGTAAAAGTGTAAATATAAAAACTATTAACGGATTAATGGTTTATCCAATATAGAAATTGAGTAATGCGCCGTTAAACTCTTAATTATAAAATTTCAATCTGTTCATCGACCATTACCCCGATAATCCGATACCAATAAGTCATAGGCCCTTTTTGTGGCTCGATTAACGATTAAAGTTCGATTTTGAACAACCCTAACTAGAATAGCACTTGGGCACGTTTGTAACAATGTTTGGAAGGAGAGGGAGTGGTAACAACTAACAGGGAGTACATACGAAATTGCAACAAGACCAAGCCTAATATTCTTATCACTATTTCCATTATATTTTCTCTAGCCGAGGGTCTATCGGAAACAGCCTCTCTGACCTTCTAGAGGTCGGGGTAAGGCTATGTATATCTTATCCTCTATAGACTCCACTTGTGGGAAACTACTGGGTTTGTTGTTGTTGTACTGTTTCCATTAGTTTAAACTTCAGTAACAAAGTAGTATTAGCAAATAGCAATTAGCAACAATATATTTCGATTAGTTTCTCAAATGAGAAAGGGTAGCAACAGGAGAAAGCGATAGATGAGTAATGCATTTTAAACCCAAAATTTGAACAGGAACAAATCAAATAAAAACTTTACATAACAGCTCATAATTTCAAACACTTTCTCTTATTATCAGGAGTTTTAATTTTACATCAGTTATACCTGTGTGGCTGTGTCCAGTCATGTAAAGATGGTTGTTATACTTCCCTTTCTCTTCTACTATTTCTTTCTTGTAAAACAATATTTCACTCCAATTCTTTCTTCTCTTTCTTCACCAGTGTGCATGAAAGACGAGAGAAACCATACGTGTTCTTCGCTTTTTTGTTCCGGAGCCTTTCTCTTCTTTCCATCTGCTCTTTAACAGTGCAAACAAACTGCAAAGTGTATGGGATTTGGTCACATTTTATTCATGAGATGGTCTAGATTAGTATTAGTATGGATACGGAAAAATAATTCTAGTATTGAATAGAATAGGCATAATAGACAAGGGAAGAATAAATATAGATAGAAATCGATTGTGGAAGAATTTTTTTAAAAAAACGACGAACTTTGACACCTTGGATAAAGACTCGTATAATCTTATATGTTTTGAATGCACGTATGGATCAATATTTTAGATGACAAATCGATTCTAACATGGAACACTAAAGATACTTATTCCTTTCTTTTTATTTCCGTGTAAAATGCTACAGCAGGAATAACCACTTGACGAACATCGGAAACTCTGAGGTCCAACAAATTATACAATACTTCGAACATAAAATATTTCAATTTTCATGTGTCTGCATTGTCTACTTTAGACAGGATAAACTAAAAATATTGTAGGATTGCGTATTGGTGTTCATAACACGGAACGGAAGACAATAACAATCCTAGGCAGAACTTTTCGTGTTTAAAATTCATTTACATGTCATAGATCGGATCTAAGACGTACCTGGTGAAGAGAGTCGCGTTTTAAATTTCTTTGATAGTGCAGGTGTATCCACACCGAGACTGATCCTTGCTATCAACTCTTTGATCAATGAAACCCCGCGAACAAATTGAATGAAAATATATATCTCTTGGCTAAAATATATATGTGATATATATAATTAATACTTATCTTATATCTAAAAGATGTTATATAAAATATTCATTAAGAGAGAAGTTTGGTGGAAACTTTGAATTGTATTTGAAAAGTCCAACATGTGGGCTGCCACAATCTCATTTAGAATGAGATTCAATTTTTCAACAATGGCAAACTTATTTTCGGTTTTGACAAGAATCCATATTTGAATTGTATTGAAAGTCCAACATGTGGGCAGCCACAATCTCATTTTGAATGAGATTCAATTTTTTCAACAATGACAACTTACTTTCGGTTTAGAATTGTACAAAAGTTCACCGCCTCCGACTTTTCCTTTGATATAATGAAAAAGGATTTTCAGAGGTTATAAATATGTCCAATTGACATGAAAATCTATGATGAAAAATAATACTTTCAAGAAGCCACAGAATTAAGAGAAAAACGTACAAGAACAATTCTTGTCGTGCAATTTTAGGTAATAAGTCTTGAGAAGAAAAACCACTTTGTGAAAGTGAGAGTGCAATACAAAGCCAAGAGAGAAAATAATATTACACGAAAGGTGTTTTTTGTTCTTCTATTTTAAGCACAATATTTTCATTCAATTTGTTCACGGGATTTAATTGATCAAAGAGTTGATAGCAAGGATCAGTCTCGGTATGGATACACATAGTCTTCACACTATCGAAGAAATTTAAAACGCGACTCTCTTCACCAGGTATGTCTTAGATCCGATCTATGACATGTAAATAAATTTTAAACACGAAAAGTTCTGCCTAGGATTGTTATTGTCTTCCACTGCGTGTTATGAATACCTCCACGCAATCCTACAGTGGTATCAGAGCCTTGGTTTCTCGTGTCTAAATTTATTTACGAAATATTTTTGCATTTGAAAAGTTCAAACCATAATACATGTATCTTGTGCAATAGATAAATTGTTTGAATACATGGATTGATATTATTTTATTGTGAATAAAATATGTATTTATATAAGTTAAACTACTAAGATACTTCGTAACTTGAATTTGAAATTTCGTATAAGATGCGACGGTAATCTGTATTAGGTTATTAGATTAAACAATTGTTATTAGTTTATAAGGTATTAACTAATAATAATTTTCTGGCATGTTTATTTTATGTGATATATTAGATAAACATGTTAGAAGTATGTTGAATTTCATTTTTATGGGGCATGCTTGTTCGATATATAATTAAATTATTTATTACATGTGATGTAAATTAATTTAGGACAAAGCATGTAGACAACTTAAGCCAAATTCATGTGCTATGAAAGATTTGATCATCATGTTATTAAAAGTTGTTTTAATAACAATTCCCTCTTACTAAAATTTGAGTTCTTGAATAATAAAATATAAGATATTTTATTAGTAAAGTTATCCATCAAAATAAATAATTTTAGTTACTTCTTGTTTATAACGAGCGGCCTGACAACCAGGAGACTTATAGTTCGAGAATATGTTAAAATTATTTATTGCATTAGGTGCATGGATTGAAAGAATTATTTAATTTTACACTAGACGCCTGGACTACCTGGGGAGTATAAAATTTAATAAGTTCTTTGCTATCATGATGGTTGAACTCAACTATGCCAATAAGATCGACCTGACTACCAGGGTACTAATTGACATAGAGCTATTTAAGGAAATTGTATGGGGATACAATTGGTAAGTGTACCTACCTTTAAAATATATGTGAGAAACGACTTGACTTCCAAGTGGTTCATACATATTGTTGAAGGATTCCTTTACTCCACTAATAGAAATAAAAATTTCTTAAACTATAATGAGGGTAAACAGTTTAAAATAATTAGTGAAAATATCACTTAGATAAAAGTTCATGTCTTTATGATATGTTTAAATATGTTCTTATAATATTGCCTTTTCTTTTTTAATTTTAGATTTCTCAATATGTCTGTTATATCACCGCGTGGAATACTTGAGACCAACAAATTGGTAGGACCAAACTGCGATGATTGGTATGGAAATTTGAGAATTGTTCTCATGCATGAAAAACTTATTGATGTGATCGATAAGCCCGCTAAGGAAGTCCCAGATGAGAATGATGATGATGCCACCAGGATTTATCAGAAATAGTTGGAAGAATGTCTTACTACCAAAGGCATCATTCTCGCTTCTATGAGTTCTGAGCTCCAGAGGAAACATCAGGATATGGATTCAACTGCAATCATTGAACATCTTAAGAAGATATTTCGTACACAAAACAGGACAGCAAGATACCAGCTATCTAACACTTTATTTGGATCCAAATTGACTGGAAACTCTCCAGTTGGACCCTATGTCAATCGTATGATTGATCTTATCGAAGAACTTGAGAAGTTGGGGTGCAAATTGGGTAAAGAGCTTTCTCAAGATTTGATCTTGCAGTCACTCTTTGAATCCTTTTCACAATTTGTTATTAATTTTAATATGCATAAAATGGATTGTGATCTTCATAAGATGCTTATTGATTATGAGAATCAACTTGCATCTGAGAAGAAGAGAGGAGTTGTCATGTTGGTTGGAAACTCTTCTAAGAAGAAGGGTAAGGGTAAAAATAAACCCAAGAAGAAACTTATTGCGCCTAAGGGTGGTGTGACCAAACCCAAAGGCAAGACAGGCAAAACTGACAAATCTGATGCTGAATGTTTCCATTGTAAGAAGATAGGACATTGGAAGAGAAACTGCCCGGAGTATCTTGCAACTCTAAATGATAAGAAACAAGGTAAGACTCAATTGAAAAATGTTTTCAAAGTTTCTTTAACTACTACTGATGTTTCATTGTGGGTATTAGATACTGGCAGTGGTTATAACATCTGCAACATGTTGCAGGGGTTCCAAATAAGTAGAAGATTGAAGAAAGGAGAAATTAATCTACAAGTTGGAAATGATGCAAAAGTTACGGCCACAACTGTAGGATCAATTTCTTTAATAATGCCTATGGGCAAAGTACTTATGTTGGATGATTGTTATTACGTTCCTAAATTTGTTTCGAATATAATTTCAGCTTCTATGTTAGATAAATGTGGTTTTAACATAAATATAGACAATGGTATTTGCTCTATTTATTATGGTGATAATTTATATGTGAATGGCTATCTCCAACATGATGTTTATGTCTTACCTAATGTGAATGCTAATTCAATTATGCATGTTTCAAGTCTTAAGAGAAAAAGAGATGATCAAGTAAATCATACATACCTTTGGCATTGTAGGCTTGGTCATATTGGAGAGAAAAGAATTAACAAGTTGTACAAGGAAGGGTACCTTGACAAATATGATTTTGAATCATATCCAACTTGTGAATCTTATCTTAAAGGAAAAATGACCAAATCTCCATTTACCGGAAGTGGAGAAAGAGCTACTGAATTATTGGGACTAATTCATACAGATGTTTGTGAGCCCATGAAAATTCAAGCTAGAGGTAGATATTCTTACTTCATCACTTTCACTGATGATATGTCAAGATATGGATTTATGTATCTTATGAAACACAAATCTAAATCTTTTGAAATGTTCAAAAGATTCCGTAGTGAAGTTGAGAAACAGACAGGTAAAAGTATCAAGGTACTAAGGTCTGATAGAGGTGGAGAATATCTTAGTGATAGAGGTCGAAAGTAAGTTGCCATTGTTGAAAAAATTGAATCTCATTCAAAATGAGATTATGGCTGCCCACATGTTGGACTTTCAAATACAATTCAAATATGGATTCTTGTCAAAACCGAAAGTAAGTTTGTCATTGTTGAAAAATTGAATCTCATTCTAAATGAGATTGTGGCAGCCCACATGTTGGACTTTTCAAATACAATTCAAAGTTTCCACCAAACTTTTTTCTTAATGAATATTTTATATAACATCTTTTATATATAAGATAAGTGTTAATTATATATATCACATATATATTTTAGCCAAGAGATATAATTTTGTTTTCTATTCCAAAATAGAATATTTCAATTTGTTCACAATATTAATTATATCCTCTGTGCTAGCAAAGAATATGATAATATTTTATTTGGACTAATAACTAAATTTATTTGACTAATTTAATTCTTTAATTTAATTATCAAATAATAAAGTAATTAATCCTTTAGCAAAGATTAGAACACTCGTTGTGCGACCCCATAGGTTCAATACTAAGCCGGTAGTAAATTGATCACATCAATATACTAATCAAGGGTGGTGTCTAGCAACACTCCTTAACGACTGGATAACATGAATTATACAATTTACTCTCAAGAACCTGTAGAAGAATAATGTATTAATTCCTTCTGTCATTATAGCTCTGGGTCACCCTAAGATATGGTTCAACTGTCAAATCCTAATAGGCGACCAACTATGTGTTCATGTCAAATATAATCAACCATTGATTGACCTAAGAAACCCTTTTCTTCTTTCATTCAATCGCCCTGACCAAGGTCTTAATTTGGTCGGTTATAATTCATGACAACATGGAGCTTAAACTCATTACCAAGAGTTGACAGATTTTATCTTGATCAATCACTCTACAAGTATTTAATCATACCCAATATCCTTTCAACTATCGCCCTTGGGCCGTAGGTGTCTAGTATCAAAGTACAATAAATAACTTGTCAATTACTATGATGATATCAGGTCAAAGGAAGTTCTTACATCACATTCTTCCACAGAATATCCCATTGACAGTTTATGGTAATTCTAACCATTAGGAATTATCCAATGAGTCGGTTCAATGATCATATCTCTATATGCATCATCTATCTATGTAATTCAGTTAATGAGCTCAACTAAACTTTATCCTAAAAAGACGATCACATAGATATTGATCTAACCGGATTATTAATGTCCAAATTAATAATCCTATGATCAAGAACTAAATTTAGATTAAATTATAAGAAACTTTACTCTCATTATCATGATCTCAATCATGATGACAAGTTTCAAGGACCTTATCAAAATAATCAAGCAATTAATAAAAATGATAAAAGAATATCAAATGTCATATATATTTTATATGAAATAACATTCATGAAAAATATGTTCAAATCATCAAACATGAGATTGGATCTAGGGCATATCTAATATAACAACAACAACAACCCAGTATAATCCCACTTAGTGGGGTCTAGGGCATATCTAATATATCCCTAACAAATATACCAGTGCATATAAGTGTTTTAAGTTGTGTTTTCCTGCATTACCAGGCACAATAAATTCATGCCTGAAAGATGTGAGCTCTCACATATATGTGTTTGGTGTATATCATTTTTAGTTGCATTCGGAGTTGGAAGTTCTCCAGAAAACCATGTCAAAGTAAACTGTAAATCGTTTGCTTTTTAAAAAAAAAAAAAAAAAAATTGTTATCTGATTAGGCATCTGACTTTGACACAAATCATTACTAGTTTAAAATAGTCAAATCCATAAAATGTCCTCCAAATGCTAGACCACCATATGCAAACAAGAAAGAGAAGCAATTACATACTAATAGGTTTTCTCCCTCTTGTCTTCATATACAGGCCAAATTTGCAGCCGGAAAGCTGCATCATGGTTACTCAAAATGTATTTGCTTAACTCAACATGCACTCCTAAATGATATTCGCGACTGAGCCATACACAATATCAAGGCAAAAAGGTGTAATGTAATAAACAGTCTTGTGTCCGTTCACACACATTTGAAGCTAGCTGTAATTTACGCTACTGCTGTCTAAACATAGTACAATCTAATTCTCTAATATGAATAACCAGAGTGTCTACAAATAGCAGTATCAACAGACACAGGCAGATCAAGAATTCTTGCAGCTGCATAAAGAAGATATATTTGTATACCTTTCCTTTAGCTATTTGTACACAAGTTACTAGTCCACATCCTAATTTGGAATGTCATTGACATGTTTCAAGATGATTTACCATTTAATTGCATGACACGTGATGTTATAGAACTAACAAAGGAAGTGTAAATTTGGTCAAGCTGAAGCATATGTAAATCAAGAAACATACTCTGGTGAGAAATTTTGGAACAACGAATTTACCATACTGCACTTGAGTGTATTCTCTTAGTTGAGGTTCCAGTTTCTACATTTGCAATGAACCTTGGCAAGAGCAGCCATGTAATCATCAGACCTGATAATGAATATTAATAAGACGCTCTTTGTCATGCTTACATATATTTCTAAGAACAAACAACAAGTACACTGAATTTGCATATATCTAGCTAAAAAACCCCTTCACCAGACCTTGATCCATAAGCCGATTGACAAGCAGCAATTAAATGAACTTTAGCTGCATCTGGCTCATTCTGCACATTAAAAAACAACAAAATAGCTCATCATGTAAGCCGTTGGAGTTCCAGTATTCAAAGCTTAAGAAGAAAAACTGATAGTAATCTCTCAAAGGCCATTCTTATGCAAATTTAACCATTGTAGATGTTTCAAATATTCTCCTTTACTGTAGGAAGAAACTAATATTTATACCAATTTAGTTCCATTGACAAGGAGACATCTTATTTGTATTAAAGGAATGCACTATGCTAATACTCTTTCTGCTTTGACTTCATAATTGCCATCATAAGAAAAGTAAGCAGCATGTGACTATTGATAAAGCTTGAAAGAATCACATGACCATACGTATGTGAGGCCACAGTGGAAGATGTATTTCAGTTACTTGCATAAAAGACTATCAAAAGCAACCCTTGCAGTTTACATCAATCAAAAACGTCGCTACTCTACCTCAGTGTTGAGAATAAAATCATGGCATACACAATTTAAAAAAAGTATCAGATATACAGGTTGATTCTCAGAGTAGTGTGTGCATTGTGAAAGTAAGCAGGGGTCAAGATAAGCTAAATTACTTTCAGTTCCAAGAGCAATCTGGCAGAAGAATCATCCATAATGAACGTAGGGTCTAGGGATAAGTAAAAACCTGGGATTCGTAGTACAACCCAGCGTACAGAGAAGCATAGAAATATTCATTTGGCTGTCCACTTGAAAATGCAGTAACAAGCTTCAGAATCAAGGAATAGTTTGTAGTTAGTGAAAATATTCACACCAACCAAAGCTGCAAATTAGAGGAAATCCATATAGTATAGATCATTGGAACAACTTATAGATAATTTAAAATAGAGTGCTTCAAAAAATGGAACTGTCATAATTTAGTAACAATCACTAGGCTCTCAGTTTAGGATATACAACAACAACAACAACAACCCAGTATAATCCCACAAGTGGGGTCTGGGGAGGGTAATATGTACGCAGACCTTACCCCTACCCCGAAGGGTAGAGAGGCTGTTTCCAACGACCCAGTATAATCCCACAAGTGGGGTCTGGGGAGGGTAATATGTACGCAGACCTTACCCCTACCCCGAAGGGTAGAGAGGCTGTTTCCAACGACCCAGTATAATCCCACAAGTGGGGTCTGGGGAGGGTAATATGTACGCAGACCTTACCCCTACCCCGAAGGGTAGAGAGGCTGTTTCCAACGACCCAGTATAATCCCACAAGTGGGGTCTCAGTTTAGGATATATCATAAGAAAAGTTGGATTGAAATAAACACGAATGTTTTGAAACAAATCTCGTCAAGAAACACTTTCATAATTTGGTAAGAATAACCGGGCCCTCAGTTGTAAGTTATATGAACATGCACCTGAAGGAGTTGAGCCAATCTCAAGTACAAGAACATGAGAGTGAAAGTGAATGAGATAGAAAAATATTGCCTACTTCGGCTAGTATTAGTTTATGACCTGGGTAAGAATTGAACAAGCACTAGAACAAACTCACTTGAAACTAGCATCGAAAGCTACTGCAATTAACTAGTGATATTAAATGAATTTCTTTCTTCTGACAACAAAACCAAATTCCATACCTTTTCTGGGTCACCACCATCTTTAAACATGTTATAAGCTTCTCGCATGACTGGTCGTGAATCTCTACCTACCTGCACACATCACATAAGCTGTTGGAAGGTTCAAATTTGAATTGTTGTAAGTAAATGTACAAATAGAATCCAGAAATTGGCTACAATAAGATGCTTGATCAAATCATTCTACACATAACAGAATCTCAATAGAGTAAAATATTCTCAATTTGGAAGTATTAGTACAAACTAACTCTTAGAACATGACGAAGTTTCATTTGATAGCCATACTTGGGTATCAGTGAGTCATTCAATGCCCGGATATGCAAGGGCGAATATACCATAGTAGGTACGAGTTCAATTGAACCCATAGCTTTCGGCACGGATCATAAATTTATGTGTAAACTTCAGTGAAATTGTAATAAATAGTAGACACGAACCCATAACTTAAAAAATATAACGGGCTCAATGTTAAAAATCTTAAAAGCTGAACCCATAAGGTTTAAATCCTGAATCCGCCTCTGCAGATATGGACTCAAAAAACATCAATCATCTATTAATAGGCATAAATGCAGAACAGATTTTTGAAAGTTTAGCTATGCAGACGAAGTCATTTACCTCAAGATATCTTTTTCTTGCTTCGCCAACTCCATACAGTTGAGCTTCACAGAGGAAGCACCATATTGACTCCTCTGTGTCATTTGGGTTCTGGGCAACATCTAAACGGAATTGTTCCGCACCCTCCTCATACCTAACCAGAGACAACCAGTTTAAGGTATGCTTGTCCTTTTTCTGAATAAAGGCACAAAAATTTAATACAAACTAGTATAAGATAAGTGGAAAAGTTATTACCTATCAAGATAATATAGAGACAACCCTCTTTGCCAAAGATCTGATTACCCAATAAACGATCGCAGTCAATAAAAGTTAATGTATACCCTTATTATAGATTGCAGCCAAAAAAAAAAAACTTTACAGGGATTTTATGAAAAGATCAATCTTTATTTGACTAGAAAAGATAATGGAACTTTTCACCAACTCATAGTATTTAAAGTTCTGACCCAAATAACAAGAAAGATAAAATTACTCAATTGGAGCGCATTTCGTTGAACTGTAGATCTGTAAGTTTCATTTGCTTAACAATAGGACAACAAATAATGCACTTTAATTTATATCAATTAATTAAGAAGCTCACATGCTTTCTGGCGAGGATCAAGTTCAATTGCCTTGTCAAACTCCACCACAGACCCTAACACGTCGCGCTTCATTATAGAACCAAAAATTTCTGATCCCTCAAATCAATTGAACCAGTAAAAAAGCAATCAGTAAGGTGAAAGAGAAATCAAGAATAATTACCTGTCTGAAAAGTTGCATTCCCTTTCGAATTGCCATTACAGCATCACGAGCTGAGTTACCACTTGTTAATGCATCCCAGAGCCCAGAAACCGAGGGCAAGAATAGTCTTCTGGTCAAAGCTGGTAGTGGATTGTGATAAGTCTGAATTCTTGAAAAAGTGGTGCCCAAGAAAATTTCACCATTCTGAAACTTTCTTGAGTATAGAGGCAAAGAACTTGAAGAAGGGCAGTAGTGAAAGGGTTTGATGACTACAGAAATGGTGGGTTTGGGATGAAGGGTGTGGGTTAGTGCCATTATGGAAAGGAGAGAAACGAGAATGATGGAACGACAGAGAAAGATGATAAGGTAACAACAGCTAAAGGCGCGGAGCCTCTGTTTGTTAGGACTGCCCACCGGGGAAGATGGATGTTTTTCACAAATAAATAAATAATAAAAAAAATACATTTCCTATTTTTCTTTTCTTTTTTTTTAGATCTCATTTCCGAATGATTTTCCAGTGTTTAATTGAATATAACAGTAGGTGACGAGGGAAAAAAAAGTATATAATGGTAGGTGACATACAGTAATTGTACAATTGGGTAAGATAAAGTATGAAAATTCTATTTTTATTATAAATAGTATTTTATTTACGGTGAATGTATATCTTTTAGAGAGATTTTAAAATTTGTTACTTTGTGGCTAAGTCACTTTTCCCTTATAAATAGAGTGGTTATATTCCATTGTAATTCATCCCAAATCAACCCTAGGCAACCCCGGCATCGCCAACGTCACGGTCTTAGGGTGACAATCCAAAATAGGTTAACAAGGCGACAACCAATCCATGCCTTATATCATGTCAAAATCAACCATGCTGAGTAGTAAAAGATCAATTCTCGCCTCACAACCCCCAATAGTCACCAATACGAACCGTTACACATCCACAATAATAGAATCATCCACCGGCGCAGATAATGAATATATGTAGCTAAAGAATTACGGGGCATATCCAAATAACGAGCAAAGTATGATGACACATATGAATAAGTGGAACCATGATCAAATAATACTGAAGCATTTGTGTGGCATACTGAAACAATATACGTAATCACAACATCAAAAGTAATTGCCCCTGGCCTGGCGGGAAAAGCATAGCATCGAGCTTGACCACCACCTGATCGACCTCCCCCTTTAAGGCAACCTCGAACTGCCTAAGTCCCACCCTGTGATGGTTGAGTGGGTTGTGTAGTAACTGGGGCAGAAGTAGTAGCATGACCTCTTTGTTGCATGGGACCTCCGACAAAACAAGGGTAATACCTCCTCACATGCCCCAACTCCCCATGCTCGAAGCAACCTCAATCTAGGGATGATTGGGGAGCCTGAATCTAACCTCGAGATCTAGACTAACCACTAGAAGAAACCGGTACTCATGAACCCTAAATTGATGGAGTACGGTGCGAACTCTGAGCTGGGAGTGCACTGAAAGATGACTAAACCGGACGAGTACTCTATGAACCATGGCTAGTTGATGCACCACGATGAATTGGACGAGCCATCTGAGTGGGCCTATAAGGACGACCTCTGCTGTGATGTGAGTGACCTCCAGATGAACTACCACTGAAACACGGGACCTCTTGCCCTCGCGTTCCTCGCACTTAAGCCTGCGAACCGACTCCAAGCACCTAGCAATCTCGACCACCTGGTCAAATCTAACATTTGTCTCATCCTCTCATGACAAACTAAAGTGTAGGCCATAGTTGAGGCCATTAATAAACCTCATGATCCTCTATCTCTCTCTCTCTCTCTCTCTCTCTCTCTCTCTCTCTCTCTCTCTCTCTNCTGTTGCCCACTTTCTAGCGTTTTGGCAAAATAAAGGCCCACATAAATGGGCCCTTGTAAAATAATGGGGTAGTGAGCAGTTAGCCATGTCTTTACTCTTTAGCCACTTT